ATCAAGAAAAATTTTCTATTTTTATACAAAAAAGAATTTTATTGCAAAACGTATTAAGATCGACTATAGAGGAAGCGGGGGGTGATGATGATGATGATAATAATAATAATGATTATTTCATCACTTCCCGGTTATTTCACTAAAAGGTAAAGAGAATGTTTTTTATTAAAAAAAAAAAAATATTTGAAAGGTATATTATCGAGAATGTTGTCGTAACCGGTCGGTTAGTAGAATGGAATAGAGGCAGAGAGAGAGGGAGGGGAGAAGGGGAAGGAGGGGGGGGGGAAATAACAAAGATCAGGAAGGCAGAGGGAATCGGGATAGTCATAAATTGTTAACATCATTGAAAGAGAGAGAGAGAGAGAGAGAGAGAGAGAGAGAAAAATGGTAGATTTTTGTCAGGTGAGGTCATTCAAAAAAAAAATGGCCACCACTACTTACTTAAATGTCATTTAAAAAAAAAAAAATGATGATGATGATGATGATGATGATAATAATAATAAAACGTAATTAATATTTAAATAAAAATGGCGCCGGTAATAAATTAAAAAAGCGAAAATTCCCGTGGAAAAAAAAATAAAAAAAAACTATCCGCCATTTTTTTTTTTTTGTTTTGGAATTTGAAATCGTTATCATTTCGCGACACGATTTCCTTAATAATTAATAATTTTTTATTCGGACAACTTTTTGATTTAATTAATATTAATAATATTAATATTAATATTAATAATAATAATAATTTTTATTTAAAACGTAAATTTCGATCAATTTATGAGAAGAAAAAAAAAATTTTTTTAAAAACGTCCCACGCTTTGTGTTTTCTTTAATTTTTTTTTTTTTCGATTTATTTATTATTATTATTATTATTATTTTTATTTGCTACGAATAATAAAATGTGGGATGACATTTGCTACGGTTAAATTTATCGCGTGATAAATTTTTTTATTACTCGTTTATCCCGCGTTCGCGAAAAAAAAATAAAAACCGATGATGATGATGATGATGATTATGGTTTCGAACGGAGGGGGAAGGAAAAACAATTTTCATCCCTTCCACTTCCCCTACCTCCCCCTACCCCCCCAAAAAAAGATAAAAAAATTAGGCGAACAACATTTTTTTTTAAAAATAATTTTGACGTAAAGTGAATTGTCGATTGTCTCTTTTTTTTTCTTTCGTGAAAGTAATCAGATTTTTACGGTTAACAAAAAAAAAAAAAAAAAAAAAAAATTCGGTTGGTTGACGTCAAAGAAAAAAAAAAAAATTGATGATGATGATAATGATAACAATGATAATAATAATAATAATAATAATAATAATAATAATAATAATAATAATAATAATAATAATAATAATAATAAAATAGAAAAAAAAAAAATATATATATATTTGAAAGGGAAAGGATCGTAAGTCGTATTGTATTGTATTTTTTTTTTAAAAATCCATTAGAGAAAGTGTCACTAGATTTTATTAATGATTAAAAAAAAAAAAAAAGGATTATTTCAAATATATATATATATTTCATAAATTTTTTTTTTTTTCTATTACCACGTACGTTACAAACAACAATGGAAACAAACAACGATGCGACAATAAACCCCCCCACCTCCCGACGGGAACGATATATAGGTAACATTAAAAGTTATAATTATTATCATTATTATTCATATTTTTAAATTCGTCGTACCGCTTTAATAATAACAATAATAATAATAATAAATATTTGTTTTCGGGACCGAACCGAAGGGGGGCGGCGTC